CACCAAGAATTATAAGCATTAGCTAGCTAATTTTTCGTTGAGTGGATACACTACTATTTATTCAACCAGGTACTTATGTGGGGTCATATAGATTGTTAGCGCTTTCATTGTTTTATTAGGACAGCTGCTGTAAACCTCCTCTACCCATACTTTCGTCTTCATCCCTGACTGGATGTTCACTGATTCTACCAAAAGCAAGCAGTGACAGAAGCAATGCTTTACTAGCAGATCTCCAGGGGTCCAATATAGGGTTGAAAGTCCAAAGAAAGCTCTGGAAGCCTTGAGTCCTGAAAGAGAGACCTGAGAAGAGTCAGGGTTCTAAACAGAAATGAAGGAGAAATCAGCTATTGCATGAGGGAGCTACATGCTAACAACATGTAATTAAAACCAGGGGTCAGCTCCTTCGCCTGGGCCTGGGGTGCCGGCAGGATGGGCAACCGTCGCAGTCTTCATACCGCCATGAAGCTCCACAGTCACCAACAGTCCCAGAAGTGGCATGACACACAACACAAGGAAGCCCATTGGGGCACAGCCGTGGAGACCAATCCTGTTGGAGGTGCTTCCCAGGCAAAGGGAACTGTGCTTGAACACGTAGGCATTAAACCGAAACATCCAAATTCTGCTAACAGGAAGGGGGTCAGGGTGCAGTTCACCAAGTATGGCAAGAAAATCACAGTACCAGTGCCCAAGGATAGCTGCTTGAACTTCACTGAGGAAAACAATGATGTTCTGGTTGCTGGATTTGGTCAAAAAGGTCACGCCATAGGTAATGATACTCCTGGAGTCCTCTTTAAGGCTGTTCAAGTAGCCAATGTGTCTCTTTTGGCCCAGCACAAGGGCAAGGAGACAAAGATCATAAATTTTGATGATGGAAACACAGTAATAAATTCTCATATTCCGAAGAACAAAAGCAAAACTAGAGGTCAAAGATCACATGCACCTGTGGTCCTCCAGGGAGGACTCTGGTTGCCTAGGAAACAGAAAGGGACTGAAGTCATGCTCTTTGGTGAACATTTCAAAGTGGAGCTGAAGTGTTAGATGAAAGAATGGGATGGGGAAAGAGGCAGCATGGTTTTCTACCCCAGCCTAGCTCATAGAAAAGGCAATGAGGGGGTGGGGGTGGGGGGATGCTGCTGGAATGTCAAAGTCCATCCCTGAGGAAAGGGAGGCACTGTTGCAGCATGTTGACCTGTGACACAGTGAGATGTGTAAAATATAAACTTCAAAAAAAAAAAAAGCATCCTTTTGTGTCTCAGTGGTTTGCATCCTGCACAAGACACCAGAGAAGATCATAGCTCAGTGGTGTCCCCACAGACATCCTGACATGCTTTGATGGAGCTTCACAAGCTTTCCGGGGCCTGCAGGAAGTGGTGTTGGGTAGAGCCAGAGAGGAAACATAGGCTCCAGGACTGGCCAGGGACTTGCTTGTGAATGCATGTGCATCTCTTTTAGAGACAGGAAAGTAGGGCTGAAGCCAGAAATGAGGCAGTGGCACTCCAAACGTCTACCTTAGGAATGGAGGCAGGAGCCAGGGCAGCACAGGGAACTGGTGGACTGGAGCCTCAAACCGAGGCAGGGCTGAGAGGATGGAGGGCGAGTGTCCAGGAAAGGATTGCTCATGTTGTGTGGCCAATGGTACGTGAAGGGTGGCTGGTACAAGTGGCCACAGCTGATGACACCCACAGAATCACTTATCAGAAGCCCCCAGAGTCACCAGAAGCAGTCATTTCCAAGAAAAGCTAGCCTCTGCCCTCACTCGGAGGAGGTGGGTGAGAAAAGTCAGTCTTTCCTTCTCCCCCATCTCCACTACCCCATCCCCCAGGAGCACACAGAGAGCAGGCCCTTGCCCTGGAAGCACAGTCCGTTCTAACAAAGCTCCTTCAACACCCTGCTCCTGTGAAACCAGGGCATGATTGTGAGTGGCAGAAGGGGCGGGGCGGGGCGGGGAAGGAGCTGTCCCTGCAGGTAAATACACATGCAAGGGGACAGTGGGAGATGGCAGTAGGAAGGGGAGGAGGGGCAAATGCAGAGAACAAAGCCCAACAGGGCTGGGACGGATGTGGGGTGTGGCGGCTTCCTGTTAGTCACTTCACACTCCGCAGACAGCACTTTTTTTTTTTTTTTTCCGGCCAGATCAAGCTCACTCTACCTGTCTACTGGATTTTTTTTTTAAAATAACTTTAGATGAGAATTGTCACTTTCAAAGCATTTCAAACCTCTCCCAGTATTTAGCAGTGTAAGATTCAAGTAAGAGAACCCTGACAACAGTGTAAGCAATATCAGTTAATTTGAGTTACATACCGGCCAGTTGGGAGAAATCGCAGGGCTGTTGGAGTTGCTGCTAGGGTCTCCGGCCCTGAGATGAGTGTGTAGTTCTGACCACTTGTAGGACCACTTTGCAGGAGAGCCTAGAGCAGAGACAATGGTGATGTGCAGGACCACACCTTGCCCAGGGCTGCTTAGTTATGCATAGCTCTTGTCTTCTATTTAAACCTAAACTTCATTTCAGGACCCCAAAGATGAACTTGGGGTGGGGAGTGATGGCGCCGGACCTCTTTGCTCTTCTGGCTGATGGGACCACTTGGAGTAAGTCTCCCATCCTTGCTTTTCATCGCTGTGGCAGTCTCATTGGCCTAACTGAGGATGGGTGGCTGAACCTGGCTTGGTAGGGCTGCCAGAACTCCTCCCGCCGGCTAGAGTCCCGCTTTGTCAATGTGCTTAGTGTGAGAGGTATGAGGTAAGAAGGAAAGAAAGACAAAGGAATGGATGACTTAACCACACAGGCCTTAGTGGAGAAAGGACCTGTGCAGGGACAGTCTCTAGTCCAAGAACCAAAGCCCATTGTCCACTTACAGGCTGGGGTAGCTACAGGGTAGAAAAAGCGGGAAAGGGGGAGACTGAAAATTCCCCTTCTTGGCCTGCAGCTGGCCTTTGTTAGGAGTAGCGAGTGTTAAAGAATGTTGGTGATGGATAACCCTCTCTTGTGCCTGGCCATAACTGGGGTCAGCCAGTTGAGGAGGGCAAGAATGAGGAAAATTGAGTTACTTTAATTCTGGGAACCAAATTATTCTAGTTTGGGGCACTGTCGTTGTTTGACCAAGATGGAGGGGCTTTACGGAGTGGCATGGCCATGGTTAACCTTTCTGATTTTGTTTTTACTAGGCATGTGAGAAGGAGCCTGTAACCGTCATTTTTGTAACCATCATTTGCTGCAGAGGCAATGTCATCAATAAGCAAGTTTTGGGAAAGTCTTTGGTACTGGAAATTTTGGAGGAGGCTGATGCTGTTAACGTGTTTTTGGTGGGGTTACAGGTAAAGGAATTTAGTCTCTGGGATACAAAACAGGTTAGGTGGTTAAAAAGAAAGAGCTAGGCCTTTTAAATTAGGGTCCAGGAAAGCAGGAAGCCTTAGTAGTGGATATCGGAAGCAGCCACATGGCGAAAGTTAGGGGGAGGTTCTCAGAGAATGAGTGAAAGGACCCAGAGTGTCAGTGAGAGCATGCCCCAGCCTCAGCCAACATCCAAAAGAACAAGATGTAGAAAAGAAGGAAAAGGAAGAACGTCTTTTTCTGAGTAACGGAAAACGTGGGAAGGTTCTGCCTGGAGGCTAAGTGCAGGATACAACCCAGACTGCAGTCCCCGATCTATCCTGAGGAACACATTTGGAATTAGATTCTAGATTTTCATAGTCAACATGAGATATATCTATTGCCCAATTTCATTCCATCTCCTAAGTGATTGTAGAGTCCCAATTCTTTAAAGAAGAATGCTAAAGATATCTCCTCCTAATCAAAAGAATAAAATATTATAAAAATCAGAAAGCAGCATTATTAGGGTGCCATTATATAATTGAAAGGACTTATTCACACTTCTCCAGATGCTCCAGTGACATTCCCCATAGCCAAAGAAAAACCTTTATCATCCTTCTCTCCCAGTTTCCTTAATCCAGTGAAGTTGTCAAGTCCTCCTCTGCATTTCTTGGCCTTGACACTTGGGAGTGCAGGCAGGTCCTTCTGCAGAGCCCTGTGAGCTTGCCTGATGACATCAGATCCACTTGCTGGAGCTCCTGGAGCAGATACTGTGTTCCCAGTGTATCACAGCAGAGGCCAGGGCTGTCCACAGCCACGTTGTTGGCAGGGCTACACTTGCTCACATGATACACCTGCCAGGTTTACCCAGTAAAATAAAGCTGTCATTTTACCTTTTAAAATTAGTATCTTTTTTATTTAATATTTTTATTTTATAATTAACTTAATTTCACATATCAGCTACGGATTCCCTCATCCTCCCTCCTCCCACCTCCCAGCCCTCCCCCCAATTTATCCCCCATTCCCACCTCCTCCAAGGCAAAGACTCCCCAGGGGAGTCAACCCAGCCTGGTAGACTCAGCTGAGGCAGGTCCAGCCTCCTCCTCCCTACACCAAGGCTGATTAAAGTGTCCCAGCATAGGCCCCATGCACCAAGGACAGGTCCCGGCTCCACTGCCTGGGGGCCTCCCAAACAGTTCAAGCTAATCAACTGTCTCACTTATCCAGAGGGCCTGATCCAGTTCCATGGGGACTCCTCAGCCATTGGTTCACAGTTCATGTGTTTCCAAATAGTTTGGCTATTTGTCCCTGTACTTTTTCTAATCATGGTCTCGATATCTCTCCCTCATACAATCTCTCCTCTCTCTTGCCAATTGGACTCCCGGAGCTCAGCTGTGGATCTCTGCATCCACTTCCATCAGACACTGGATGAGAGTTCTATCATGACAGCCAGGGTGTTCGGCCATCCGATCACCAGAGCAGGTCATAAATCCAGTTACTCTGAACCTGATAGAAGAGAAAGTAGGAAGTAGTCTTGAACGCATTGGCACCAGAGATCACTTCCTAAATATAACACCAGTAGCACACTGAAAAAAAAACAATTAATAAATGGGACTTCTTGAAACTAAAATTAGTATCTTGTGGAGAGACATTGAAACTATATAAGGCCCTACTAGTGTCAATGATTCTTGCTTAGAAGAATTGTTACTGGGATGGCTGAAAATGGATGATGTTTTTCTAGTTCTGTTATTCCTCCTACATTTATTATTAGTTGATTTTCTTTTGTAAAGAGAAGCCTTCCTTTATCTCCTATTTATTTGCATGTTGGCTTGTATCAGTGTAGACTTTGAAATCTTATTTGATTATTTGTTATCCTTTACTGTCATTTATTTTTATTATTTAACCATTTTCTTTGAGAATCTCCTGCGTGTACACAGAGAGTTATGGACATATCTACCTCCTGTCTCATCAACTCCCCTGTGCTCCTTGCCTTCATCATTGTAGAGGGCGTGAGGTCCTTGACCTTACAGATAAGCACTAGGAAAACCAGGAATATTAAACACACAGAGCTGTCTCTTCAAAGTAAAGCAATGTATACCTGTTTTCCACCCGGAAAAGCTGAGGATGGATGTAGTTAATAGCCTGGTAATCTTCACTATCTGTAGGGCCAGGCCACACCTGAGTCCACCAGACTATTATGTTTATCCCAGACTCTTCCTCCATAGACCTTTATCCTGAGCACTGTTTCTCAGGCAACAGAACCCATCTTTATGGAAGAGGCCATATGTACTCTGTAAAGATTTTCAATGTAAACATGTCTCAGCTTTGTTGTAGACATGGGATTGAGTTAATTATCATCAGGACACTTTTTTCCACAGTTGTGCTGTGCTTAAATATGCCTAAACATGCCCAGCGTCAGATTCTAGAAGTTTGACCCAACACTGGCTATTGAGTCGTGTTGAACTGAATTTCCTTCTTGCCTCAGGCAGATACTACTCTGCCAGCCCTGGTGTTTGCAGAGACCCCTACACGTTATGCTAATATATATAAGACAGAAGACAGCAGTTCATAACACACTTCCCCATGACGCCTCCATTGTCCCATACTTGAGAAAGTGTCCATTTTAATGTTCAGGTACTTACTTTAGACAGTTACTAAGGAAGGCTGCATTTAAATGAAATGAGAAATTTTAAAAGGCAAGAAAATACTTGTTATTGTGACTTTAGTTTTTCATTTATTTATGAACTATATTTTATTTGTATATATTTATCTTTTCTTGCAAGTTATTTGTGCATACCCTGTGAATTCCATTTATAAGAACCCCTGTCAGTTAAGGGTATTAACCCTTCGTTTGACAGAGCATTGGACACTGCTTATTGGGAGGATACAATAAACTAAAAATCTTACCAATAACATTTTAGCTATTTGAATCCTTTACAACCCTCTGACATAGTGTTGTTATTTTTATTTTGTAGATGAGGAGGGAAGAGGGCTTAGAAATATTGTTCATGGATTAGCAAGTAAGGAAAGCTAATATTGAAATTCAAATTTGTGTGATTCCAAAATTTATATTCTTCATCTATATTTTGGCATGGTGGAAAAACATTTTAATTTTTAAAAGAGTCTTAGGAGAACTAATATAAATCCTAAGTCCTTTTAATATTGTAAACATGAACTCAGTTACTGTAATTTTGTCTTAGATTCAAACATAGATTCTAGCACGTTGGTTTGAGATGTATCATTGTATTTATGACGTGGTACTAGTCTACATTTGTGTTTTATGATGTATTTGGGACTCTGAACAGTAAAATGTAGAGAAGGTAAATGCTTATGTTAAGGCTTACTGAGAATAAAGGTCTGTTTTGTTTTCCATAGTTTTAATTAACCTTGACCAACTATGGTCTGAAAATACAAATATAAATCTCCATAAATAAGTCATATGTTTTAATTATATCATAATTGCTCTATTTCATTATTAGTTTTGCTTTTGATCTTTTTTTAATTATAATGTTTAACAGAGAACTTCATACATGCACGTAGTGTGTTTTGATCAAATCCACCTGTAATCCCTCTCTTGTGCTCCTGAAACTTTCCCCTCCTTACTTCATGTCCTCTCTCTGTCTCTCTGTCTCTCTGTCTCTCTGTCTCTCTCTGTCTCTCTGTCTCTGTCTCTCTGTCTCTGTCTCTCTCTCTCTCTCTCTCTCTCTCTCTCTCTCTCTCTCTCTCTCTCTCTCTCTCTCCTTTTTAAAAACACAGAGTTCATATGCCTGTATGTATAGGATCTAAGAAGTCATATCCCTAAAGAAAACGACTCTCCCTCCCAGGAAGCCGCCAATTGCCAATAGCTTCTCAGGTAGGGGTGGAACTTCCTGAGGTCCTCCCCTGGTGGCACCACTCACTATTCAGCTAAAGAGACTGTATGACTATTTTTTGGCTAAGGAGACCGCATAACAAAGTTCCAGTTCTCATAACTTAGCTAAAGAGACTGTTTGACTGTTGTTTGGCTAAAGAAACCGGGTGACAAAGTTCCAGTTTCTGGTTGGGTAGACAAAGCACCACTTCCTCCTTTAGTTTTATTACTTAAAAAATAAAATCATTTGTATAGTGGTTTTTGGATTCACTGACTTGTTTCCTTTTGCCCTCAAAATATTGATGATCTAAGATGGTCTGAGAAAAGAAATAAGATGAATAAGTTTATGGAAAAAAGTAATATAAAACCTACACATTGGAAAATATTGATGAAATGGCTGAACAGGATGTTCTGACTAGATCCCAGAGATGGAGATGAAGATTGGGAAAGTACAAAGAAACCCACAAATGAGTTTGGGAACATTTCCTGCTTATTTTGTAGTGAAGATACTAATGCTTTTATAGATATAAAATGCAAATTTGAAAACTAAGAATCAAGAAAAAAGATATGATTTCATATTATGAGTTAATCATTAGAAGATTATAAAAATAAGAAAGAGGAATGTTGCAGAAATCATATAGACATATAAATTAGGATATATATACATATATATAAAGGTTTAAAATAGATAATATAATTTAATAAGAATTTTTGTTTTGCTTCTTGTAAGTTAAGAATTAGCCTTTTAGATTCTAATTGTCTGGCAACAGTGACCATGAAGAAATATTAAAGGAATCTCTTCCCCCGCCTAGTTAAACTTTGTCTACTTGCTCCAGGAACTTGGTTATTGAATTTTATGATTATGACTTTTTAAGGATGTTTTGATACGTGTTGGGAAAATAGTCACTGATTAGATATTTTTTGAAATGCAAATATAGACTGATGTAATCATTGTTGTAAGATATAAAAATAAACTCTGTGGCCCTTGAAAGAGAGAGATACACATGTATTCTCTCCCATACACTGCCTCCTGGCGCAGTAACAAATAAAATATTTGCAGAGGCTCAGAAAAAGATTCAAACTGCTGTCTGGTGCAACTTCTTTCTATCGCCTGCTACGCCTATCCTTCTTAAGTCCTGATCTTTACTGGAGCTGGTCCCCGACACAAGTGGTGCCTGAACAGGAGACTTGAAGTAGGGTAAGTATTAATAAGGTGTTTCCAGTGTAGCAAGGATCCCACTAGTGTGCTGCAGATCCCTTGGTTAAAGAGTAAGGCTGGGTGGTAGTGGGTAATAAGAAAGAATTAATAAAGATCCCCTGGTCAGAGAATAGGGCTGGGGAGAGTATATAGAGAAAAGAAAAATTAATACAGTGGGACAGGTGGAGTCTAAGGAAAGGAGACTTTTTTTGATATTTTAAAATATACTTTGAAAAAAAAGAAAGGAATAAAAGTCAATGAAAAACAAGTTTGTGAATCTTTACAGTTGGTGCATGAGATTAGTCCTTGGTTTCCTGATCAAGGTTCCCTAGATATTGATAATTGGGATAAAGTAGGAGATTAGATTTTGGTATGAATGGTCACAAGTCATGCCTGTGAACGCTTTAGCTTATTGGTCATTAATGAAGCAGGTTTTGGCGCCTATGGAAGTTGGGGGTTTACCTAAATGTAAAAAAATCTTCAGAAACCTTGCCTCAAAATAAATCTAGTACTCCTCTTTTATTTAAAGATCCATTAGAAAAGGAAGTTAACAATGACAGAGAAGAGATAAGGAGAATGAGGAGTCTTTTCAAATAGAAAGCGAAGGAGAGGAAGAGGAAATTTAAAATGTTAAGGAGGATTGGCCACCTCCTTTTCAAAAGACACCTAAAAAGAGGCCAAAAATAGACAAGGAGCCCTGTAGGTTTTGCTGCAGCAGTTAGAAAAGTTGCTGGAGCAGGGAAGCTTTAGTTAGGTGTTACCAGTAATTTTTGATACAAATGATGAAGAGATGCCTGTGTGGGAGCCTCGGCCTTATAAATTAATTAAAGAATTGAAACAGGCCGTTGTAGCATATGGGCCCACTGTTCCTTATGTTTTAACTTTGGTGGATAATTTAGGAACTTATTGGTTAACTCCTAGTGATTGGAATTAGGTGGCCAAAATCATGTTTGTCAGGAGGACAACTTCTGCTTTGGAAAGTAGAATATAAAGAAGTTAAAAGTCAGATTAGTGGGCTAGAGAGATAGCTCAGTGGTTAAGAGCAGCGACTGCTCTTCCAGAGGTCCTGAGTTCAATTCCCAGCAGCCATATGGTGGCTCACAACCACTTGTAATGAGATCTGGTGCTCTCTTCTGGTGTGCAGGCACACATGCAGGCAGAACACTGTATACATAATAAATAAATAAATCTTAGAAAAAAAAAGATTAGTTTACAAAAAGAAAAAGATGTTACCCTTCCTATGTTGCTAGGGGTACGAGAATGGATTACACTTGAATCACAATTAAAAATACCAAAAAAAGAATCTTACATTAATAACCATAACAATTGGAGTTGTCAATCTTGGTCCATGTTATACTTGTGGACAAATGGGTCATGTTCGTAGGACTTGTCCAACTAATGGTGGTCATTTATCAGCCCCAAGGGCTATGCCTTCATGTCCAAAGATATCTTCTTGGGGAATGGTTAATGTTCCAGTCACACTCTGCCCTCGTTGCCAAAAAGGCTATCATTGGCAGAAAGAATGCCAGAAACAACAATTTCTACCTTCTTATTTAAATTACAGTCTCTTCTAACTCATAGGACAAAACCCCATTTTATAGGACATTTGAGAGCACATACTATTTTACCTGGTCCATTAACAGAAGGAAATCACTTGGCAGATTCTTATACACAATCTATAGTAATGTCTGCCTTACAAGAGGCCATGGAGAGCCATGCTTTACATCATCAAAATTCACGGGCTCTCCGACATCAATTTGGCCTAACTCAAGAATCTGCTAGACAGATCATTAAGCAATACTTTCATTGTCCTGGATTTGTGCCTTCTTTATTAATGGGAGTTAATCCCAGAGGATTATTACCTAGTCATCTTTGGCAAATAGATGTGACCCGTGTAAATACTTTTGGAAAATTATCCTATGTTCATATATATGTAGATACCTTTTCACGTCTTATTATTGCTTCTGCCCATACAGGAGAAGCTTTTAAGGATGTTTCTCAACATCTTTTTTATTGCTTTTCATATATAGGAATTCCAAAACATTTAAAAACTGATAATGCTCCTGCTTATACTAATAAGGCTTTTGCCTCATTTTATGAAAAGTTTGATATTAAGCATGCTAATAGCATTCCACACAATCCTCAAGGTCAAGCTATAATGGAACAAACTCATCAAATTATTAAACTACAGCAGGGAGAATTTAAATGTTTCTCCTCATCATATTTTATCTCATGCTCTCTTCGTAATTAACCATCTTAATCTTAATCCAGAGGGAGTTTCTCCAATGTCTCTTCATTGGGAACTGGATAAACCAAAACAAAGACCTATGGTAAGATGGAAAGGCAGCAGAGTGGAAAGGATCAGGTGTTCTCTTAAACTCTGGGAGGGGATATGCTTATGTTTTTCCTCAGAATGCAGAATCGCCCATTGGGATCCCAGATCGCCTCGTCAGGCCATGTGGACCGGTCCCCGAGACGGTCATATCATGTCCTGCACCCATATTGGAAAAACGAAATGACAAGAGAATATGAGCGATTCTCCCACTCAGAATCGACTTCCGTTCTGCCACCATCAAAAACGCCTGATTCTACAGATATGGTTGAAAATATTTTGCCTGTTTTTGCTCGGCTTCGTCTTCACTCAAAGCGACGTGAGCAAGGCCGCTTTGCAAGATCTACTCGTCAAGAGTTTTTGCCAACATGGGGTCAGATTAAACAGCTTAGTTGTCTGGCTGAACAAATTCTTGAAGAAAATAATTTTCAAAAAAATCCGGCTAATCTTTTCCTGGCTATGATCTCTTTGCTTACTATACGGGTACGGTTAGTTTTATTTTTAATTATTATTGGATTCCCTTGTTTAGTGGGAGCGGAGCCATTTTGGGCATATTTGCTTGACCCACCACCATATTTTCACCCTGCCTCCTGGGCACAGGGACCAATTAAGGTAACCACAAATGATACACAGCTTATAGGAGGTGATGACAGTAGTTACATACTGTTTAAAAGTCAAGATGCCAATTATGAAGGTTATTCAGAGATTCCTACCATTTGTTTTTTTCATACTAACAAAAGTCTCTCAAAAAAGGGTTGTGTTCTCTTACGTCAATGCACACTAGTTGCTGATTCTCCATCTCAGGAACAACCTGGCTATCGAGATGTATGGAGTCTTAAATTTATGGGGCCAATAATTTATGATTTTTATCCAGAAGATTATCCTCTACCTTCCATTTCCCTCCTTGCAAAAGATGTTATTTACTAGATGATGTTTAGAATAATATTGATCCATATAGTGGATATCCATTATAGTTTGATTGCAGTTTTTCAAAAGCAATGTTATCCTACTACAGCTTATACTAATCAATTGATTGAATGGGGTGTTAGAGGCCCTAGCTATGATTATATAGTTTTTTATTAGAAAAGAGAATTTATTTCAGTATAATCCACATGTGTTTCCTGAAGAACCACTTGCTGCTTGGTATTCTCCAGACAGGGCAACTCCCATTTATTCTTCTTCCACTTCTGTGCATGAGCATAATTTACAAAAGGATCTTTTCCATTTATTTGCTGCAGCTGCCAAAGTAACTCTTTATTATTATCACTCTAAGAATAAATATTGGATTATATCTAGAGCTATAACTGCATATGTGGAAGCTCCTTATGCAATTTTACGTAGTAAATCCATTGGTTCTTTACATATTTTTTTTTTTTTTTTTTTTTTTTTTTGGTTTTCCGAGACAGGGTTTCTCTGTGTAGCTTTGCGCCTTTCCTGGGACTCACTTGGTAGCCCAGGCCGGCCTCGAACTCACAGAGATCCGCCTGGCTCTGCCTCCCGAGTGCTGGGATTAAAGGCGTGCGCCACCACCGCCTGGCCCGGTTCTTTACATATTTTTGAGACTAACAAAGGTTCATTTAAAATGAATATATTAGGGAATATATAGGTTCCTGCTGTGGGATGGTCTGTATGTCAAGTGTGTTGCTGATTGGTCAATAAATAAATCACTGATTGGCCAGTGGCCAGGCAGGAAGTATAGGCAGGACAAGGAGGAGAATAAAGCTGGGAAGTGGAAGGCTGAGTGAGAGAGACACTGCCAGCTGCCAAGATGACAAACAGCATGTGAAGATGCCGGTAAGCCACGAACCACATGGCAAGGTATAGATTAATGGAAATGAATTAATTGAAGCTGTAAGAACAGTTAGCAAGAAGCCTGCCACAGCCATACAGTTTGTAACCAATATAAGTCTCTGTGTTTACTTGGTCGGGTCTGACGGCTGTGGGACTGGCAGGTGAGAGAGATTTGTCCTGACTGTGGGCCAGGCAGGAAAACTCTAGCTACAGTTCCACTAATGTATGGCCATTTTTTATTACTTGGGATTGATAATTTTTGTTTTCTTACTTATTGTTTTTCTTTTTCTAGTCATCTAATGACAACTAGCATGAGGCATCAGAACACTGTCAATGGAATTTCAAGTGGATCGACTGAAAATAAGAAAGAGGGAGATGGTGGTGCCACTCACCACTCGGCTAAGGAGGCTGTGTAGGACTGTTGTTTGGCTAAGGAGACTGCGTGGCAAAGTTCCAGGTCTCATAACTTAGCTAACGAGGCTGTAGGACGGTTGTTTGGCTGAAGAAACTGAGTGACAAAGTTCCAGTTTCTGGCTGGGTGGACACAGCCCCACTTCCTCCTTTAGTTTTATTATTTAAAAAAAAATAAAATCATTTGTATAGTGCTTTCTGGATTCACTGACTTGTTCCCCTTTGCCCTCAAAATATTGATGATCTGAGATGGTCTGAGAAAAGAAATAAGATGAATAAGTTTATGGGAAAAAGTAATATAAAACCTACATACTGGAAAATATTAATATTGATGAAATGGCTGAACAGGATGTTCTGACTAGATCCCAGAGATGGAGATGAAGACCAAGATTGGGAAAGTACAAAAAAAACCACCAATGAGTTTGGGAACATTTCCTGCTTATTTTGTAGTGAAGATACTAATGCTTTCATAGATATAAAATGCAAATTTGAAAACTAAGAATCAAGAAAAAGGACATGATTTTACATTATGAGTTAATCATTAGAAGTTTTTTTTTTTTTTTTTTTTTTTTTTGGTTTTTTGAGACAGGGTTTCTCTGTGTAGCTTTGCGCCTCTCCTGGGACTCACTTGGTAGCCCAGGCTGGCCTCGAACTCACAGAGATCCGCCTGGCTCTGCCTCCCGAGTGCTGGGATTAAAGGCGTGCGCCACCACCGCCCGGCATGCGCCACCACCGCCCAGCTGCGCCACCACCGCCCGGCTAGAAGATTATAAAAATAAGAAAGAGGAATGTTGCAGAAATTTTATAGATACATAAATTAGGATATGTAAAGAGTTAAAATAGATTATAATATAATTTAATAAGAATTTTTGTTTTGCTTATTATAAGTAAAGAATTAGCCTTTTAGATTCTAATTGTCTGGCAACAGTGACCATGAAGAAATATTAAAGTCCTCTCCTCTCCCCGCTCCCAGTTAAACTTTGTCTACTTGCTCCAGGAACTGTAATCATTGAATTTTATGATTATGACTTTCTAAGAATATTTTGATTCATGTTGGGGAAATAGTCACATATTAGGTATCTTTTGAAATGCAAATATAGACTGATGTAATCATTGCTGTAAGATATAAAAATAAACTCTGTGGCCCTGGGAAGAGAGATATACATACACATGTATTCTCTCCCATACACTGCCTCCCGAGTGCAGTAACAAATAAAATATTTGCAGAGGCTCAGAAAAAGATTCAAACTGCTGTCCGGTGCAACTTCTTTCTATCACCTGCTACATCCACCCTCCTCAAGTCCGGATCTCTCCTGGAGCTGATCCCCAGCACTCTCCCATCCATGCTGTGATTTGGCGGGCGTGATCTGGCATAGGTCATGTGCATGCAGTTGCAGTCACTGTGAGTTCATGTGTGCCCTGTCATGTTCAGCAAATAATGTCTCACTGGAGATGTCTATTTCCTCTGGCTCTTAGAGTCTTGCCAGAGCTTCTTCCATGATGATCCTTGAAGCTAGGTAGGAGGAGGTGTGATATAGATGTCTTAGAGTTGACCTCTCCACTGTCTTCTCTTCTCTACACGCTGACCTGCTGTAGGTCTCTGTATTAATCACTATCCACTGCAAAAGCAAGCTTCTTTGATGAGGATTTAGAGAAGCACTAATTTATCAGTATATAAGGATAAGAACTGAAGGAGCAGTTTACTGCTATGGCCATCTAGCAGAATAATAGATTCTCCTCTGGGGTCTCTGACCTAGCCAACCATAAGTTTTTGTTTTTTGTTTTTTTTTTTTTTTGGCCCAGTTAATGATACCAGGCCTGAGTTCCACTTTCTGGAGTGGGCTTTCAGTCCAACCAGAGAGCAGTTGAGTCACTGCTCTAACCTTCACACCACTATTGCCCTAGTGGGCATATCAGGCCAGTCATTGTAGTGAACAGGACTCCCAGCTGGGTGAAACTACTGATGACTTTTCCCGCCTGATAGCACATATAGAACCTTCCAGCACTATAAAAGCTGGTCAATAGGGATGAAGCTTCTACATCAGTGCCAGCTTGATTTCTTCATCTCCTATGACTCAAGTATATGGTGTCTTCAGAAATAGGGTCCTATCATTAAACACTGGAGAGTAACTAGGAGCAATAACAATGGCCTACAATGGTTTGGGGGGACTAGGGGACTCTACCAACCAACTACTTGAAAGGGGGTAACCCAAACCCGGCCCTTGGCTTTTTATTTGACATCCTATGGTGTTGGGAGATACCTGTTCCGTCACATCAAAGGGTAACTCCACTTAAACCACTCTTAAGTATGCATGCATTTTAGGAAACTTCTGCACTTGTATGTTTCCATATAGCATTTTCAAAGGTTCTTAGTGTTAGCTGCCCCTTTTCATACTGCCTCTTCTATGCTGTTCTCCCTGTCCCACCCCATTTAACCCTTCCCTGTCCATTATGTCCTTATCATTCCTAATTTGAACTTTATTGTAGATATACAAGGAGAAAACCACTGAAGGAACTACTACTGTATGCTCTGTGAAGATGATACATAGGGTAGAGAACATCTGACTTTTCACATGGATGTGATGGTTAATCTTAAATTCCAACCAATGAGATATGGACTCAGCTGGAAGACAGGCCTCAGGGCATGCCTGTGGAAGATTCCCGTGGTTAGGTCAGCTGAGGTGGAAAGACCCACACATTGAGATCCTGGACTGGGGCTGGAGAGATGGCTTAGAGGTTAAGAGCACTGCCTGCTCTTCCAGAGGTCCTGAGTTCAATTCCCAGCAACCACATGGTGGCTCACAACCATCTGTAATGAGATCTGGTGCCCTCTTCTGACCTGCAGTCATACATGCTGTATACATAATAAATAAATAAATCTTTAAAAAAAAAAAAAAAAAAAAGAAAGAAAGAAGAGATCCTGGACTGCCCTAAAAGAAGAAAGTGAGCCGTGCACGCATGCTCACCTCCTTCCGCTTTCTGACAATGCAACAATGCT